AAAGCTAAAGCCAGCTTCTTCATGCCTCTAGCCCATGTCACGGTCTGACCGCCGCGTCGCTGCTTCCAGATTTGCCCGACACGTGCGAAGAGATCACGGAAAGGTAATCGATGGGCAGGCATACGCAATACGTGACCAAGCCATCGGAGGCGGTGTAGAGCGATTGCTTCTGTTAGAGACAAACTATCCACGCCCAGCACACGATGACAAACCTCGTGATTACTTACCCAATGTTCCCACCAGACACGAGCAATGCTTCGGAGACATCGGTGGTCGGATACAGAAAGTCGATTAGCATCCTCCGCTCGGAGAGGCCAAGTCTCGCAATCGTAAAGCAGAACACTACGAATCGCGGCGATGTACACCCTTCCCTTAAGGGACAGTCGGGTGTCATGGCGGCGCCATAGGTGTCGTAGGTTTTGCGAAAGCAACTGGGGTAAACGATTTTTAGCTTCTGGCCAAGAGTACTCATTTCCGTTTATTATCGACTAGTGAGTATTCTCTTTGCTGTTGGTGTAGACCAAAATCTTTCATTCTGTTTTTTTTTTGAAAATCCTAATTGGTCATTTCGTAGAGTTACTACAAGAGAGATCGTTCTTTTTTGAACATCACAAATAACTAAATTTATTGTTGCATCCAAGCTGCTCATGATCAATACTATCTTTCAATCATTCATCGCCCTGTTCCTCTCCAAATGTCACAATGAATTTATGTCACCTGACGCTCTCTGTCACGGTTCTATTCCTGTGACTCACTATTTGTTCTTTCCTTTGACATTCAGGTTGAACCCGTTTGCCATCGACTCGCATTTGAATGCTGTCATTGTGGCGCCAAGCAAATTCTAGTGCTGCCTTCAGATGGCCGTTATTCCACACCGAACCGATGCCCGGCACCCAATTGTCGATCTCGAAGCTTTGAACCACTCCTGAACCATCCGGACACAGTCACCATAGACACACAGGCGAGTTTCCGGTCTGTTGTATGACTTCACAAGTCTGGCACGTGCATTTCGTCTACTCACGCTTTGCTTGTTTAACGTAATTCTTTTATCGTTTTTATAATTCTCCCTGATTCAGTTCGGGTTTTAGTTTGCACAACCATTAACCATACACTTTCGTGTGCCGATTTTGATTGTTGTCAATGATTCAGTCAGCATACTGAACACATTGATAAACTAAAAAGTAAATCAAAATTTAGATGGTGAATGTTTGGATTAGACCATTCGGTTTTTCACAGGCACTAGGCACTGTTGATGATCTTCGATGTGGGTGGGTTTCACTCCTTGAGAGATCGTTAATTCCCTAATGTTTCCGTTGCACAAAAATGCAAACAAACAGTGGGGAATTAACGATCTCCCAAGGAGTGAAACCCACCCACATCGAAGATCATCAACAGTGCCTAGTGCCTGTGAAAAACCGAATGGTCTAATCCAAACATTCACCATATAAATTGATTTAGCCGTTTGCACAAGGTGATAACCGTCCGAACCATCGACCGTGTAGCCCAAGGGTAAGGGTTTGAAGTCCCAGCCCGAAGAATCGCGGTTCGAGTCCTGACAGGGACATAAAATGTACGCACTGCTGAGGAGTCCCAAACAGGACGAAACAGCTGTCCAGTGCTCTTTGTTGCTTATCACAACCATTTCCATCGCACGTAAATCAAAATTTATCGAAACAAATGGGTGATAAATTAACTGCAAATAAGAAAGGTATTATGTTTTGACGATATGGTCAAAAATAATTATTTGTATCAGACTAGTCATTCGATCAAAGCATTATTCAAAGTTGCATTAAGGTATTACGTTGACAACAGATGTCTTATCCAATTCTACCGTTGCTACATTTGCCAGATTGTTCATGGAGAAGGCAACGCTCTTACTCTATCGAACTAGCCTCTTGGATTTGAAACAAAGATTTCACCCACATATGATAAATAAAATAGTTGAAGAATTTCATTGTTCAAACCAGTACTGCACTTTGTATTGCTTTCGATTTTCATCATCGTTGGTAAGAGAAATTTCATTCACTAGCATCTAACATGTTCCTTAATAAGTACTTCTTTCCACAACCATTTAAAAATATTTTGTTATCACTGTTTTTCAGTTTGTCGGGGGGGGGGAGAGGAGCAGCCATAGTTGATGAACTTGATGCACTCACAAACCGTAGCGAATACAGGTCAAACTCACTATATTTTTGCAGATGGTCACCTTACAGGAAGCGTCAGAATATGAATCAGCCAGTACGACTGCGGATCTCGGTACCGCCCCCGTTTCTGTGGGTCGCAGTCCGAGGTGTCTGACCTGCCGGGTTAATCGAGATCTGGTTGATTCCTGCTTACCCGGGGATGTGGTTCACGCAGCTGGTTGTGTCGGTCTATTAAATCCAGACGGCTTAGCTCCCAGCTCACATACAGGTTCTACAAGTTGGTCAGCACGTCGAGGACCGTCCATGTTTACTTTGATGTTGAATGTGAATAGTCTAATCCGTTTGGGTGGAGGAGCGGTTATCCACTCCCGTCATTCCAGCGAACAGATGAATGCAGTTGAAAGCAACGCCGGTCTGCTAACCATCATCTCAGTGAACGAAGGTAATGAAAACTGCGATCCAACCCGGCGTACGTCAGATCCCGGACAGCTGATGTCCAGTCTTGGTACGTTCATAGAATTCCAAAATGAGTTTTCGTCTGTCTTTGGTGCGTTGCTTCATGAATTGAAACCATTAGTTCTGTATAATTTATTCATTGATCTTTGTCTTTTCTCTGACAGAAGAGCTAAATACAGCTCTCATTGCTGATGCGGTCGCTGTATCAATTGATGAAATGCACTTTTGACCATCAAATATGAGAACCCCTCTTCACCAAAAACAAGACATCCAAATCAATTTAAGCTCACAATCGCTAAAGTACAAAGAGATGCAATCAACCAACCTGGTTTTCGTGAATTGTACTCAATTGACCATCTAACTTCTGTACATGCCTGTGTCTCTGAGGTTAACCGGATTTCTGTCAAGAACAGATTGTTACCTGAGGACCCTGACCCCATCATCCGTAAATAATGTCTGGGTTAACAAATAAAGACCAACCAAAATGAGTGTTGAACAGTCGTGGTCTCAATGCACGATGACCACTAAACATTTTTTGAATGGCCAACTGCCATAAAACGATGCGCCTCAAATAGGCCACAAGTTAGTGTCGCTACCAGGTGATTCATCAAATCGAAAGCACCGCACTGTCGAGTCGAGAAATCCGCTGATTTGCGCGTTCATCCGACGAAACTGTCAGATGCCAAAGCCTAGTCACAACTCATAGGTCTATCCACTGACCCTCATAAATTACTTTGAAATAGTTTCGACGGATAAACGTGCGAATGGACCACAGCTGAATTATCCACTCAGCAATGTGTTTCCGATTTGGTGAGTCACCTGGGATCTTGGAGCATAACGGGACAGTGTTGTGTGGATTCAGCTACAACTTAGATGGAAGAATGATAGTTTGGAGATTTAAAAGATACGGGCGAACAAGTGGAATAAATACATCAGAATGGATTTTGTTACAGTACAGGGAGGTGTTCTTTCTGATGAGAGATGTGACTTGATTTTCATCGACAAAACCATATGTTCAACTAACAGAGTATGCTAGTTCGATGCTGAGCACCATCAAGTATGCTATAGGCCAAACGTATATTGAATCTTCTTCTATAAACAAAGAATCTAGCAGAGGTTTCATTGTGGTTGTATATCTCATTTTTCAACGTGTTGAAGGTGCCTACAGAGGTCTAATAGAATGAATTAGGATTTCTAACTTTTTTGGAGGTCTGTGAGTATTATGATAAGCGGATGGATGGTGGTCTGAAGCAAAAGGCTTATTAGGGGCTCACCATTGAATTATCCAACAGCTCAAAAGTACTTTCAAGTGGAATCCTATAATTAGTTCACAAATAAGTTGTTTTGAACTGGTTTATTTGTAATACCATCTTGTAGTGGCTTCAGATCGACAGTGTAACATGCTCGAGAGTTGTCCCATCTTTGTTCTGCCTGTTCCGCATGTATACTTTCGTATGGTTGCAGGCATTGGTTGCTTAAAGCATTCGCTCGTGCCTCCTCCTTTGTAGCATAGATTCTGCCAGGATCGTCGACATTTTGAAACCGTTTCAATTAGGTCTTTCATCTTTGTTTAAGTCACTGCCACCTCCGGTGAAATAACTTCACTTTTAACGGTGCGTGAGTTCAACGCTACACCTTTGCTTGCTAAGCTCTTCGCTTTCAGACACCCTCGAGCGTACTCAAGTTAAACTTCCGGTACCTTTAAGGGAACAATATATTTTCCCTTGACCTATTGGTTGTTGTTGATGATACTTACCGAGATATCGAGAATCACGGGAAATTAGAGACCGGATTGCTTTTTCACTTCGTGAGATAGCATCTCTATCTCTAAAATCTGCTCTGTCTACGTCGCATTGCACGAGTTTGGTGGGGAAAGCGGATCAGCAATGCCGAAGTTAGGCGCGGCGTTTTATTTTTTTGCGGTCGCCCACTGGATCAAGTAATTGACCTCCATAGACTGCATTGGTTGGGGCATGTGCTGCGCATGTCACCAAATAGATTACCACCGCGCGTGCTATTTATCGAGGCATGTTATAGGTGGTCAAACTCAAACCTGGTATGATTGTATAAAATCTCTGACCAGGAGACTTGCCCACTCAGGTCGCATTTGGTTTTCTGGATGCGGACATCGAGATCAGCATAATCATTGATTAAACACATCAAGTGATATGGCTGTTTCGTAAAGAGTAGCGCTCGTGCATCTACCCATTATCCCTGAAACCTTTGCCTTGATGAATTCATTGATACTGATTTGAACATTTCATTCTTATCTTTACTTCTCCATCCAAATGGGAAGTCATGAGGCAGCAGCCAAAACTGGCACATGAGAGTGCATGATTAATGGTTGTAAGAACTGAAAGTAATTGCCAGACACTGTTGTTAAGTAATTCTGTCTGTTCTATTTCTCCGTTTACAACTTTTCATAATAGATAACGACTTTTCTATCAAGGATTTGTATGCCATTCGGGACATCAGTGAACAGCCAAATCTCTTCCGTCTATTGGTCGCGTCTTTGTGCCCCACAATTTGCGGTCGAGCTATTGTCAAGGCCGGGCTCCTTTTGGCTTTGTTCGGCGGAACCCAAGCACAACAGCGCAGACGCACTCGGCGTGAACAACAGTCTCAGTCAAACGATCTCACTGGGCGTGCGGATACGCATGTTTCGACTCCCACAAAATTTCACACTTCCGAATACAACCAATCTCCGTCCCTCTCAGATATCGATGAGGAAATCTCCTACCGTCTTGGTGCAGCTCCTCTAGCACCCAGAATGGAACCGGACGACTTTGGTCTCAACTTTGACCTTGACACAAATAAAGAAAGCAAAAATAATGCGGATGCGTTAGACCTGAATGCTGTCGTTCCGGAAGAATTCGGGCCAACCAAGCGTTCATCTTCGCACGTCCTCATCGTAGGTTAGTTTGCTCATAGTGAACGGTAAACTTTTCACAATTTTAGTGCGTTTTCATTCGATTAGTTCCCTAGTGTATCAATCGCTTGATTTGAACACAAATGATCACTTTCATCGCACAACAAGATGCGAGGATGGGAGTGGATTTCACAGTGTGCGGATTTCCATTCGTGTTCACTTATCTTACTCTGTTTTCAACCCATCGGTAGCGCAAAAATGAATACTATCCTACAGATTGTTTCGGCCCTAACTGAATGTGATGCGTTAGTTGATATTTTTCACAAATGAAAGAAAAGCAGTGTTTATTGAGTAGTTTCTGTGCTATGCGAAAACTTGAGAAACCTTAATTAGAATGAAGCTCAAACCGCGCTGTCGATACAATTTTACGCATTCCCATTAACGTTAATGACTCATCTGATGCGTGTTTTTCATTTTGGACACGGAAAACTGGCCATGACAACCAGGTGATCCTGGGTTAGGCAAGAGTCAGATGTTACGTGCAGCAGCCAATTTGGCCCCTCGAGTGATCTACGTCTGTGGAAATACTGCGACTGCTGCCGGTTTAACTGTGAGCACTATTCGGGAAAGCAACGGAACAGGAGGTGGATTCAGCCTGGAAGCTGGTGCTCTCATTCTAGCCGACCAAGTAAAGAGTTACTATTATTATTATTATTACTGTTATTCTACTGTATGCCTACGTTGTTAAGGTGTGATGATCTTCATTAACAATTTTTAAAGCTTACCATTCTAATTCATCATTGTGTTTTGTACACCATAATACTTTTCCTTCATAAATATCAGCTCAGTTCAGTTCGAACAGCCATAAATATAGTTCCAAGAAAGTTGCAAAAGAGGATTAAATGTAAGCGGTGAACGTGTTCCATCGTCATGGTGTTATATGCTGAAGTAGCACCTCTGATCGGCAGATCTTCGTGTTCTCCGGGGAGGGGGAGTCTTTTCACGTTTTTTTCTTCTAATAATCAGCTCCTAGATGTGACTCAAATAAGCTTTTCCCTAATTGGACAGCCAAAAGACTCCTAAACCGCCCAAAAGGCAGTCGAAACCAGGTTGTGGGTTGCCGAGATGTTAAAACGTTTCAATGAGATGATACCTTGCTACTGTACGATCTACAATTAGTTGAGAAAACTTAAGATTTGTTTTTTTTGAATAAAAAACGACCGGTGCTAAGACCCTCATTTTGTTCATCCTTCCCCTTATTCCTTCTCGAGTAGTTCCGGAATTCGACTCGTACTAGAGATAGAAATTGTCGCACCGAGTGCACAAATAACGCGACCTAATGATTGCCAGTAAATCTGTTTTGGTTCATATATGTGCTGTTTCTCGCAAGTGAAGGTACCATTGTGTGCTGCCTTTGTTTGATAAGGTAGTTTTGTGTTTTTACTCGGAAAGCATGCACTTGATGGGTCTCTTCCTCTGGACCTGTTAGACGAATCACCCGGAAAACATTCTGATGAGAACTAGTCTCTGTTGAAAAAAAGAGTACTCGCTTCCTGATACTCCTCTGGATCCAGTTTAACCAGTGATTCGCAGCACAAAATAATATGCGTGCGTTTCGAAAACAGTAACACTTATGACTCTACTCGCGTTCTGCACATTTGTCTCTTTTCTATTGCTAATCAAGTTCATACCAATCCTTTTTAATCGCACAGGGTTGTTGCTGTATAGACGAGTTCGATAAGCTGGCCTGTGACCCTGCGGTATTACTGGAGGCCATGGAACAGCAGACCATTAGCGTTGCTCGCGGTGGTCTGGTCGCCAACTTGCCTGCTCGAGCTTCCGTTTTGGCTGCTGCAAACCCGGTCGGTGGTCATTATGATTGCACACGTCGCCTGGATGAAAATTTGCGTGTCGCCCCGGCCTTACTTTCAAGGTAGAAATGGAGTTCGTTTATCTTCTCTGTGCTTGGAAAATCGGCACCGTCTAGTGTTTTGCATTTCCCCAGTGCCGATGCTTGATGCACAGATCTATTAGATAGAGTAGGTGCCCATCGTCTTCTGAGTTGGGTTAACAAAGACTCCGTAAC